GAACATGGAATGCACAAAGTATGAATCTAGGAAAATTGGAAATTGTTAAATATGAAATGGAATGCATAAACATCGATATCTTAGGCATTAGTGAGCTGAAATGGATTGGTATTGGCCATTTTTAATCTGACAACCACATGGTCTACTATGCCTGGAATGACAAATTGAAGAGGAATGGTGTTGCATTCATTGTCAAAAGAACATATCCAGATCAGTCACGCGGTATAACCCTGTCTGTTGTAGGATAATATCCATGGAGCTCTGGTAGCATAGTGGTTACAAGTCAGGCTGCCAACCTGAAGGTCAGCAGTTCGAAACTAGCAGAGGTTTCAAGGGAGAAAGATGAGGCGTTCTGCTCCCGTAAAGATTAACAGCCTCAGAAACCCTGTGCAGGGTAACTATGAGTCGGAACCAACTCCACAGTACTTAACAGCAACAACAACAGGGAAGACCAGTTAATACCACTATTATTTAAACTACGTACCAACCACTAAAGCCAATGAGGATAAAATGGAAGAATTCTACCAACTCCTTCAATCTGAAATTGATCCAACAAGCAATCAACATGTATTGATCATTACTGGTGATTGGAATGCAAAGGCTGGGAGTAAAGAGGAAGGATCAGTAGTTGGGAAATATGGCCTTGGTGATAGAAATAATGCTAGCGATCGCATGATAAAATTCTGCAAAATCAATGATTTGTTCATTTTAAATACCTTTTTTAAACAGCATAATAGACAACTATACATATGGACCACACCAGATGGAATACACAGAAATCAAACTGACAACACGCTATGGGTCGGAACCGACTCAACGGCACTTAACAACAACAACAACAATGGAAAGAGAAGATGGAAAAGTTCCATATCATCAGTGAAAACAAGGCCAGGGGCAGATTATGGTACAGACTATCAATTGCTCATATGTAAATTCACACTGAAGTTGAAAAAATGAAAATAAGTCCATGAGAGCCAAAATATGACCTTGAATATATTCCACCTGAATTTAGATATCATCTGATGGACAGATTTGATACATTAAACACTAAAGACCGAAGACTAGAAGATTGTGGGATGACATCAAGAATATCATACATAGAGAAAGCAAAAAGTCAGTGAGAAGACAAGAAAGAAGGAAAAGATCAAAATGGATGTTAGAAGAGACACTGAAACTTGCTCTCCAGCATGGAGATGCTAAAGCAAATGGAAGAAATGAGGAGGTACAAGAGTTGATCAGAAAATTTCAAAGGTCAGCTAGAGAAGACAAAATCAAATACTACAATGAAATGTGCAAAAATCTGGAGTCAGAAAACCCAAAGGGAAGAACACGCTCAGCATTTCTCAAGCTGGGGGAACTTAAGAAAAAATTCAAGTCTTGACTTTCGTTATTTAAGGATTCTCTGGGTAAATTATTGAATGATGCAGAAAGCATTAAAAGAAGATGGAAGGAATACACTGAGTCACTGTACCAAAAGGAAAGGGTTGATGTTCAACCACTTCAAGAGGTAGCATATGATCAAGAGTCAATGATACTAAAGGAAGAAGTCCAAGGTGAACTGAAGTCTTGGCAGATAGCAAGGCATCAGGAATTGATGGAATACAAATTGAAATCTTTCAAGAAAGTGAGGCAGCACAGGAGGCACTCACTCATCTCTGCCAAGAAATCTGGAAGACAACTATCTAGCTAACTGATTGAAAGAGATCCATATTTGTGCCCATTCCAAAGAAAAGTGACCCAATGGAATGTGGAAATCATCAGACAATCTCTTTGATATCCCATGCTAGTAAAGTTTTACTAAAGGTAATACAGAAATGGCTGCAAGCATACATTGACAGAGATCTTCCAGAGGTTCAAGCTGGATTCAGAAGACGACATAGAATGAGGGATATCATTGTATATGTCTGATGGATCTTGGCTGAAAGCAGAGAATACCAGAAAGATGTTTACCTGTGCTTTATTGACTACGCAAAGGCTTTTGATTGTGTGGATCACGACAAGCTATGTGGACAACATTGTGAAATATGAGTATTCCGGAACACTGAATTGTGCTCATGAGGAATCTGTACCTGTGAGTACAAGAGGCAGTTGTTCGAACAGAACATAGGAACACTGAATGGTTTAAAATTAAGAAAGGTATGTGACAAGGTTGTATTCTTTCACCATACTTATTCAACCTGTATGCTGAGCAAATAATCC